CATCATAATTTAGAAAAAAGAAAAACACACAAAATAATATTTTTCCAGTCTTTTTTATTTGTTTATGCAAATAAGTGTTTTAATCAACTATTATTAGACAATAAGGTGATTATATGTTTTTTCTGTTTTATTTTTCAATTTAACTAAAACAATAACTATGGTTTAGTTCACTATGTTTTACTATGAAATATATTTGGTTATCTGTGCTTAAGTCTTAAACAAATACCTTAAGTTTTATGTTGGTTTAAATAATTTACCTCAGTATTTCATTGAAAACTAGTTCCTTGTCATTTTGAATTAATCCTGTAAAACCTGAGAACGGCACAGTCTGACCTTGTTTTCCTGTGTATGTGCAGTGTTTACCAGACAACTGAAATTTCTTAGACTAAATTTCAAGATCCGCCTGTTATTAACACCAACCTTGAGGTCACGTCTGCTAGCTCTCTCTCTCTCTCTCTCTCTCTCTCTCTCTCTTGTAATACTCCCACCAGACATACACCGTTTTCATTTCAAACAAAAAGGAGCTGGTTTCCTCCTCCGGGAAACCAGCGTTCAGGGATAAGATCTACGCTCACATGCCAACGAGCAGATCTTAGCCCAGGTCCTCGRCACCACTAGTCGTGACCAAACCAACAGTTTTTGAGACTCCACTGAGTTTTGTTGCAAAACTTTTGGGAGAGGTCTCGTATTCTGAAAGAGGAAATGAATAACTGTGACTCTCYGTTCAAGCTGAAAGACAACAAGCGCTGGAATAATCAAACCTCTTCGTCTTATTGGASAGTAAGTTGAACTTGAGCAGACCTTTTGTTGACCTGATGAGCTCTTCCTTAACACCTGACCTGACTGTGAAGTCTTCTAAAAGGTAGAGGYTGAATTGTTTGATTAAGCGCACCCGTGTCCAGTTGAATCGAGTGGGAGACTCGTGCTCATTCCTGGCTCCTCACATTGATAAGAYAAAAATTAGTTATCCTCCTTAACCCTCTTTTCTCTCTWTTTCTTAAATCTTTGCTTATACCCTGCCAAACCCTTAAGAACAGTGCCTCAAACAWTGGTTTATTTAAGAATTTAAGCCGAAGTTTGTTGTTCCTTATGAAGTTGTCAAAATAATGATAATTAGCCCGAACGTGCGTTAATTGTTGTTGAKTTCAACTTTTGTAAGAAATCTAATTGTCCCTCAATGAGTTGTACATAAGTAATTTATTTTATTCTGTAAATAAATATCATTTATTTTATATAAAACTAAGTTACTGTACGCTCACTCWTTGTGTGGTTTCCTCATAATTCCACAGAGAAGATATTATTTCTAAAACAGAAGAACTCRTGATTTTCCTCATAACTTTAGTATTAAGAAGTATGTAGGTCTTACCCCKACACCTGCACTGATTTTGTTGCTGATTAATGAGAATTACTAGAAATGAAATCATGTACATTACACTAAGTCTTTGACAGATATGTAAAAAAGGCTATAATGATTTATTTGAAATGATAATTCAGATGTTTTGAAGTAAAGTTCTGTATAAAAATATTTGATCCATGGATACATTTTGGAGATGGATATTTCAACAACCTCAGATTGACGAATGTTGTTTCAGTCAGACCAAACAGACAAGCTAACAGCTAGTTTTAGCATTAAGCTATCAAGTTTATGGTTTGCTTAGATAAAACCATGTTTTCCCAGAGATATTTGGCTTTAAGGGCTGAACGAGGCAAACTATCTGCCTTGAAGCTTAGTTCTTCAGTCATGGATAAACTTTTCGTTGTTAAGCAGTATTTAGGATGGGCGAATTGTGTTTAGTTTGTGGAAGTTTCACACATAACAGAGTGTAATGTCCATTTTTCCTGTGGTTGTGGTCACATACGTCACTAATACTTCAGTATGAGTACAGCACAAAAAATATTGAGAACATCACCAGGTGCCAGAGCAGATAAAATGTAAAGGAAATAAACTGCAGTCGACGTTGTGAAAGTCATTCTGATAACAGACGGTGAAAAGTTTTAATGTGTGACCATCTGTTATGAGAATGAAAAAGAAAGAGAAAAGCTGCAGAAAGGAATACCTGAGAAGTCGTGGCAGCCAGAGGATGGGACAGGAAGAGAAGAACAGACAGACAGCAACCTGCAGGAGAGGAAGACAGGAAGAAGAGAGGAAGGACATCGGAGGTAAGGGAAAAAGGAGAAGGAAGCAGAAAGGAGAGAGGAAGGAAAGGAAAGTGCATGCAAAGGAGAGGAGCGGAGAGGGGAGGGGTTACCGGTACTCCTGCAGCCATGGCAGACAGCAGCTTTTGTCTCCATCTGTCCTTCCCTGTCACTGTCCCGTCCTCCTGCTTCTCAGGCTACAAAACAGAGGGACGGGTCACACACAAACACACCAACACTGCTTTCTAAAGCCCATTAGGAACCTTTGATTGCTGAACTGTATATTTGACCTCTCATAATGTTTACAATCACGGCTGAATAAAAGCAGATTCCAGGAAGTCAGTTTTAGGACCAAGCTTATGTATTAGATGAGTCCGAAACGTCTGATATTTACAAAAGGCCCGACAACCTCTCTTTATCWGACTGATAAATGGTTCATCTGTTTGCTTACTAAGAATTTTAATCATAAACCATTTTCAACTCTAAAGTAGTAATTAACTGCTGTACAACCACATGCAACAAATYAAGAACTAATAAAATAAGGAGTTTTTTTGTTTCATTGCAAACAGCATGAAGCTGTGATGTTTCATGTTCTGTCTCAATAGCTTTAATTTCGGCCTTTTAGGTCCACAACACATGAAAAAAGAAGACATGGAAAAAAAAAGTGATTATTTCTTATTATTATTTCTTCTCGGGACATTTGAAATATGTTCTGGAATCGCAGATTTTAACTGAGAAAGCAATGACCATTGCAAAAATGTTGCTCTTGTTGCTCCGCCCAGCTCAAGCTGTTTGTGCTTGCCGCCTTCGACGCTGTCCAGGAAAAGTTTGCAAGTCCTGCCTCGGCTCAGCCATTTACGTCAAAGCCGTAAGCGTGCAATACTCGGTTCTACCTGCTTGGAACYACCTCAGAGGAGGTTCTGAGAAGTGYRGTTGAAACCAGAAATGGAGACGCATCACTGGAATTTATTGCTTTACTGCAAGAATTTACCACATTTTACAAATGAGATTTGAGTGGATTTATCATAAAATGCGTAATACCCATAATCCTGCAGTGAATTTCAGGCCATGTGCATTTTAACAAGATATAACTCGACGCCAACCATTGCTGATGTCCCTCGTTGTCATTCTGTAGTGACCAACCATGACTGGAATCGTCACAGGCCTTCATTATTTAAATAACCTCGTAAAGTGAACAGATAGACAGGGGGCTAAAGTGATCTTTTCAAGGACTACACAAACGTGTTGAGCAGGTCTCCCTTGCTCAACACATAATTT